TATTGGATTTCAATCAATTGACTGAATTTATACCTACTCTCTCTCTCTCTCACTTACACACATCATCCATTAGGATGAAAAAATCAAAATGTGAATTTTCATGATTTGCGTGAGGTGAATCAATCGGGCCATTTTAACAACCAAGAAACAGTCTTTCAAGAGCTTTATAAATTTCTTTTGTTATTCTGTCTTCAGCTTGTGCTGGCTATGTAATACAAAATATACGTATATGCATTCCATTAATCGTCTGACAAGAAGTGTCCATAAGACGCATAACAAACTGGGGAAGAACAGTGCACAGTCTACCCACTGAGCACTAGACTGTAAGAACACGAGCGTGTTCGGTTGTTGCTCCTCGAGTTTCCCGGTAGGCTTTGCCGGTCGGCTTCGGTTGTTGATTTTATACCATCACGTAGAACCCTCCATCTCTTCTCTTGAACGTTGACCTTGGTCATAAAAATAGTTTACCGGGGGTTCTGGGTTCGAATACCACAACAGCCGCCTATCATTCCCGTTTCCATATTTCCCCAGGCAACCTTCCGATGGTCGCAACCCCCTTTCCAAAAGTTGAATGTACATTCGTAAACTCAATAAATAAGAAAGGAAGTAACAGATATTTTAAACAGACAAATATACACATTGTAGACAGGCATGCACTTTTTGGTACACATTTTTTCATTTTTAATCGACGACGATCCTGTTGGCTGAATGATCCCAGGCGTCGGAGCTTGGATGGTGTTTATCGTGATGTAAGTGAGAGTTACTGAGAGTTACGCATTTTAGATGGTGACAAAATACAAACCGCGATTTACACTACTAAAATTTAGATAGTAGTCACAAAAACCTACCAATAAATACAGTTGCCTAAATGGCCACGCATCTAAGGTAGCAAATTAAAAAGTGGCAGATTGACCCCTTTATAAGTGGGTCGTAACCATTTCATTACATCAAAGTGCGTACCAGCAATCAGAGCGGAGACTATTTTCAGGAAGTTAACATTCATACAATGCAAACATGCATACTGGTGGAACATGACAAATCAAAAATAAATTTTATTTCCCAACGTCACACTTGCTTATCGATAGTCATGAGTAAAGATCATTTGGTCTGACCCGTAACTCCCAGTGCAATGTTATTAATTCTATTGCATGACTGTTCTGAATTGGCGCGACCTTAAGTGCCAGGATAAAACTTGTGGTATTTCGAAAGGTACCGCTGAAAATTTGAAAATATTCGGTGCAGGGCAGCATGGAGGTTCATTCTTTCTAATACGCTATTTCATCAAAACAGAAAGAAGACAAATGTCGTGAGATGTTAACATTTCGTTTAATATTCTCGGTCGCTGACTTAAAACAAACAGGCAAATATATAACACATGGGAGTAATCAATTATGGTGAACGAACGTGTACAAGCATTCAAAGATTACTAAATTTAGAAATAGAAGATCAACTCCACGGTAAGTGGACTGTTTGTATAAAAAACTTCTGTGCTCATAAGGTCGGGTGATGTAATCTAATAAGCGGCGCTTCACTAATCGCCAAAAGTTTAGCATTGCGATTGCGTAATAGTGGTTTGAAAGAAGAATTAGGGTCAACTGTGTGTCTTGTTGCCATGAGATTTTTTGCAACAGATGATCCTGGATTCCTTGTTATCACTGTCCATCATTTATGGGTTACGTCATCGATTTCACCAGTCACTTTGGAATATGTTCGGCCATCTGTTGTGACAACTGACTGTTTGTTCTGCCTACGTAAACGTCACCGCAACTGCAAATGAACTGGTATACAGCGTGTGAGACGGAACTGGTTTGCCAGTCACGTTTACGTTTGTCTAAATCAATACCACAAGTGGAGGCGATGAGTCCGGGTTGAGCAGCTGGGAATTTACGGTCTAGAGCTGACCTCAACTTCTGGCGCATATCATTGTAAATGTGGTCACCTTTGAACGCATGCTTGGGATGGGTGACCTTTTGGGAGTAGTCTACTGTGAATATATATAAACCTTTCTGGGTAGCCATTTTTTAGCAATGTTCTCCTTAGGAAATCCTCTTCTTCCTGCGGTGTATCTGGAGATCAAAAGTTTCTCGCTCAATGAAATAGGGTTCTCACAAGCCCACGTTTGAAAGTCATGGGGAAAAGCTGGAAAAATTTAGGTATGTCGCTTTTCGGTGAACTGAGCGTTGTAGTGTCCCATTCATCCGCCTTGTAACTTTTATGTCAAGAAAAGTTAAAGTGCTATTTGTTTCCGTTTCATGAGATACGGTTAGATGTGGATGGACTGAGTTAAACTGTTGTAAAAGTGTATTAAAATGTTCATCTGTAAGAATAAAAATATCGTCCACGTAACGTTTGTACAGGGTTTTCTGTACATATTAGAATAAGTTCTATTAGGTATTCAAGAAGAATATTAAGTTGAAAATTGTTTGAAGAAATATAATCACATAAAAAATCAAGTGTTTCGTGAAGTGGTACATCAGTAAAAAGTGAATCTACATCCATCGAATATATTCTCTGTTGAGATATTATAATATTATCCATAATAATAGAGAACTCAAAGTAATCATTCGTACAATGTGGCATAAGAGACTTATGAATGGGATCAAGAATGTCTATCAGCCATCGGGCGAGCTTGTGATACGGCGAGTTTTGCATGCACAGAATTGGTCTGAGTGGAGTTCCACGGTTGTGAACTTTGGGCGAACCCCTCAATTACGGAGTTTCCGTTCCTATTGGCTTCAGTTGTTTGTACTGGGCTTCAAAAATGTAGCAATGAAGCAACACAATTTGTAGCTTTCTTGCAATAAGGCCTTCGGTTCGCTGTTTATTGCCCGTTGTATTGTTAATTTGGAATTTTGTAGCATTCGAAAGAATTTCGTTCATTTTGGCGATGTAACTGAGTGTCTTTTGTCATAATTACTGTTCTAGATCCTTTGTCTGGTTTCAGAAATTTTAAATTTATCACACTCTTCAGTTCTGTGATTGCATTGTAGTGTTCTGGAGTGAAGCGGCAGTGTTGTCGAATCGGTACGGTAAGGCAGGAATGACAAACATCCACCAGTTTTGCCCGGATCCACGGGCGTTGTCGGCTGATGTAGGTGAAAGTTCTTTTAACCGACCATAAAAATTTTCGAACTGAACACGATTTTGCAGATCGTCAACATTTCTTGGTGGAATCTGGAACTTCATCCCCATGGATAAAACATCACATTGTGTTTGTGTGAAGGTTACGGATGCGAGATTGTGAATAAATTCAAATAACTATACGGGAAGCACAGATGAACGGTTCCGTGGCAACGAACCAAGTAGTTTTTCTGTGGTACTTTCTCTTGTTTTCTAGAGGGTTGTTTTGTAGAACTCCTCAAATCTGATTCGATAAACCAAGTTTGAGCCTCAAAGGAGAGATGTGAAATGTTTTTGTGTCTCAATAAACTTGATCATTTGGGCTAGTGAGGCTTCAACCAGCGTCAGATAACCAATCCCAATGGGATCACCATTCTGCGGCCCAATGTTACCACCGTCTCTGCCTCTGAACCACGTAAGTTGAGCTCCACCCCAGCCCCATCCATTACGAATACTGTGACATTTGTCAGAACTCTATTCACGTACACGGAAAGACAGTTTTTCCCCTCGTTTCTGCTCATAGTGTACTACTTTTGCTATTATCCATCAATCACGCACCCGCCTATATCCTTTCAGAAATCTCCTGTTCCATCGTGGTGAAGACAGTGTACTCTCTCTCTCGGTTTATCTTTTTGCCCATATATATATATATATATATACATATTTATATATTCGTCACAACAACCTTGTTTGCAATAAGGGTGACCATTGGATAGACAGTTCTTTCAGAGCCAGTCCATTGGCGAATCAATGCTATGATTCGATGTTTTGTAAGTGGGTTAGATGCTACAAGCCGCAACAAACGTGACCTGATGGTCTTGGTAGAATATTTGATAATACGTACGTACAGTCAATCTCCTGCTATGTGGCATCCCTCGGGAATCCGAAAAGTGGGTAACATCCAGGAACTGCGACATAACAGGGTAAACAGTAGTATATGCTAATAAGTAGCATAAAAATTGGTCGACAGTTTTGTGACAAAATAAACCGGATCGATGAAAAGTAGCTTAATCCCATTAGTTGTCCCCAATGTTTATGATTATAAACTGTTTATTTATAACGGAATTTAGATCTACCGCCCTGCGTATCCTATGTATCGAAGAAATTCAAATCTTTTGTGACACCCTGAGCTTAATACCCGTACATTGCTTGCAGTATTCAACCATTTTTCAGTTCTATGTGTCTAGTTATCCCAAAACTACTTACCTTTCTTCGGGGTAACTTTTCTGACCCAATTGTCCCAGATAGTCCAGATAGTCCTCCATTCCATTGCAACGTTAGGCCAACCACATAATTGATCATATGACGTTCACCCAAAATATACAACTGTTTTAGCTATAATAATCACATCCTTATTAACCTATTCAAAGAAAACAAAGGTAAACCAGTTCGAATACAGTGAGAAGGAAATATTATCTAAAATGAGTGGAGTATCTGCTACCGAGTATACTCAGAACATAGAATTCCTTCCTATATATTCAAACTGATTGTTCGCTGTGCAATCTATTCATGGTCTTCTAGTGAAAAATGTGTATCATTAGCATCTGTAGACATCTATTCGTTCGTCCGCTTTTGTTTTTACCAGTGCATGTTAAAACCGATTGATACGATTGAGCGATGATGACACTGGGCCAACGTTTGACTCGTCTAAGATACACACACCATTTTTAAGTGGGTTTTCGCGCAAATTTTCTGGCAGGCGTGAGACGGGAGTTTACTTAGAAGAAATTCACTCCTGTTCAGCCAGCCGAAGGCCATAGACACCAGCCTGCAGAATTACGCAACTCTCAAACAATTACGACTCATAAACTAAAGGTGTATCTCACAAACTGTCCTTAGACCCGGGTTACGATGACCTTTGGCAAGTGATCTGTCTAATTTCATCGATGCTCTTCAAAAGGATGGTCATCAATAGACACATAATGAGTAAATTCCTCGATCAAGTCGCATTTATCCTCTGGTGGCTGCATCACCGGCTGAATCAATGTGGATTTGAACCCAGCTTTCATGAAAGCGTTGATCAATACGTGCGGGTGCACAGATACCCAAGCTTTCTTGACCAAATGAATGGCCATGAGAATGTCCACCTCGACTTTCATGATACGTTGCTCATCTTCGATCAAAGAAAGACAAAACACATTCCAGTAAATGTTTCCGAAACGAACATTTGAAGGACCAAATCACGCCCTGATCCATTGATTGTAAGATTGAAGGACAGTTCGGAGGCAGCTGTACCAATTTGACATTGGAGAATACTACGGCTTGGTTATGGCAGGGGGCGTTGTCCATAAATAGTAAAATAGAGAACCTTTGAGAAACCATTTTGCGGTTGACATGGGGCAGCCAACTGTGAAATAATGTACAAGTCATCCATGCGTTCTTTGAAGACCTGTAACTGCATGGAAGACTTTTTCTATCTATACCTCGGAGGAATCGTGGAGTTTGAAGCTTTTCAATCGCCAACAGTGATAACCATTGGGAACTCTCTGTGTTCTTCCCTCAGCAGTAAACCAAGCCCAAGTTGTCTCATTCACTGCCTTGCACTTTTCGTTGGTTTTCAGGTGGCATCTTCCGTCAGATGCTCCAGCGTTCGAGAATTCCCCGCTAGTCATTCGATGGGATACAACATTGTAGACAGTTTTTCGTGAAATTCCAAGTGATTTGGCTACGGAGCTCTGAGTTGCATCTGGCTGTTTCAGCATTTCCATCCAACACACTCTGCTTCTCTCTGATCGATAGGAGCTTGCACATTTTGACGTCAAATAACACTGTCTCCGATCCCTTAAATGGGTATGACTTCCTCGCAAGGATTATCCAATCAGTGAACAGGGCCATACACTCGTCACACTAGGTGCAACACCATTGGTTGAGTGCGACATTTCAGGGTGGATGGTCAATGGTCGTCCCGAACATCGGTCAACGACCAGGTGAGTAGGTATCAGGAACTGCGACATATTGAGGGGTGTGACATTGCATGGTCGGAAAGTACGTTATTAAGCATACGGTTGGTTTGGGTTTTCGAAAAAGTGGGAGGATGTCGGAAAATGCGACCTCACAGGGGTGCGACATAGCAGAAGATTGACTGTGGTATGTGAGTGACTGGACAAAATTTCCCTGGAAGCACACGACCGATTTTGCGGTTCTTGCGATGAATATATAGATGAATTCAGACTGTGTGCTAAACAAATCACATTAAAATCATCCATACAAAAAGAAAAAGGATTTACAATTTGACTCATGGACGCGATACTGTCAGGTTTCCCAGGCCAAGGCAGGTGAATCCTCTTAGTGAATTCACAACCGGAGCCTTTGGCTAGCCAAAGCCTAACCCACAAAGCAGCGGGGCGGTGTGCGGAAACCACCGTCCATTGTGGGCCGGTGTCCAGTCCATCGGAGCATACACCCTTCGGACGGAGTCAAACGTCCAATACACCTCGATGTCCAATCGAGTCGGTGACCACTGGCACAATCGATAAGGTGTGGTATGGTTCGTACCCCTCTTCTTGGTTGGAGTGGAATCAGGATTTTGGGCCAACTCCCCAGATGATCTGCCAGAACTTTACCGACCCGATTACAACCCCGGTTGTTGGCTTTCCGTCCTCTCACTTCTGTGGAAAAACACCGCTACGAGAAGGCAGTGAGTAGGGCTTCCTCAGCAGTGCCCAAATCGGATAAAAAATCAGAGACTTAAGTACATAAGGGAGGCAGAGAGACCAACTATTAGAGAGAGATACAAATTCAGTGTCAAAGTACTTGACTTGTGCAACTGCTTTCATGTAAACAGAGGTTCAATTTATCGCAGGTTCGGGGCATTGTGCGACGCTACTCATGTTATGTGAGTAGTATGAGAAAGCACTTGGCGGATTCTCTCGGCCTTCTAAAATAACCCTAGGGGAAGATAAGTGGATTTAATGGTATATTAATGAAAGGTGGGAATAGACTCGTGAACCACTTGACTAACCATCCACAGTCTTTCACGAAACTGTTACTTGACAGTTTCAGATTATACGTTTCATTCTGTGTAGCCCGATTTACCCCGACCGATGTCGTTGTTCCAATAAACCACCCCTTAGTTCGACGCTGGCCTTGTGGATTTGTAAAATCGTGAATTTCTCCAGCAATGCAGCCATACTGAGAGGGAAAATCAATTACAGTGAAGTATTAAGATGACTGCGTATGGTTTTAGTGGAAAGTAGCTGCAAACAACCAATATCGAGGATATTCCCGTTGGATTTACCTGTATTTTCGTATGCAACCGTTTGTTCAAATTTAAACTGCAGTTGAGCTCAGTGAATGTGAAACCGTTATTGAATTTCAAACAAAGTTGGGATCATATTGATTTTATCAACAAATTCAAATCGCTGTCCTTTTGGTATTCTGTTGATCGTACTGACAAATGCCTGATAGTTGACGAATGAGACATGAGGTAGAGAGAGATCATTTGAGGACCTGGTTTTACAAAGAAATCCGGTCAGTAAAAGCAACTATTTATCCTGCCTGATGAGTAAATACTGATCTTCATTCTGTTGTACTCCTGTACATGACAAAATGTACAGTATGGGATTTGTTGCACTGATCAAGCAGAGAAATTTCATCCTGTTATTCATTCACTACCCACGGTGGACGCACTAGAGATCGGATTTAGTGTAAAGTTAAAAGAATCGAAAATACTGTCGTTGAATCATTCCAATTATTCTTTGAATCAAAACACTCTTGGAATCACTTTCTGCAAATGAGAAATTTACACATGGATTTTACATAACCGAATAACCTGACATATAGGTCCTGGGTGCGCAAACCCGATGAGCGGGATCAAACACGAAACCGGTAGTATGCTTTCCAGAGAAACATGTGACGTCATACGTACACCTTACATATTACAAAGTTATTGTAACCTATCAACGATTTAAGCTCGATCCAGCTAGACACGTGCAGCACAAATTTACTATCACCTGGTTCACCTATTGTCGAATAAAAGCGTACCCACGATCCAAGCAGTGTTCATGGTGAGCTAGAGCTAGCAAAACAAACAAATGAATGGTTAGTAGTGGAATAAACAAAGCAAACCACATAACTCATACATAATGCACTGATAACAAATATTTAGACACTAAGGAATCAGAGCCAGAAGGTAGAACCTTGTTATGATAAATCGACATCGTATTGACTTAATCCAGTCATAGCCGAATGGGAAATAGAACGACAGAGACGGTGTGTCAGTGAACATGTAATTAATTATGATCAATTATATGGACTGAAGATACAAATGCAAGATACCAATGGTGATCTATACATTTAATGGTCCACAAATCGAGCCTTTGGGTGAACTCCAGGAACTAAACTAGATCGCTACTGAGGTAAACAATAATTAATGTTCGGCAAGCGTTCCGCTAAGATGCTTGTACACGTTCGTTCACTATGATTGATTAATCCCAAGTGCCTGTTTGTTTTAGGTCAACGACCGAGAAGATTCAATGAAATTTTAACATCTCACGACATTTGTCTTCTTTCTGTTTAGATGAAATAAAGAAAGCCTTCAGAAACATTCTACCAGAGGTGTCCCATCATTTTGTTTGCACAACGAAATACGACAACAACTTCGACGACGACGATGACAGTTTTTTTCCATCTTCAGAATTGTGGATTGCGGATTGGCTCTGCGAGATGATGCTTCCTTACTATTAGTCTTTGGTTTTCGAAAACAGATTATCCGCTTCAAATATCCCCTCAAAAAGAAATATATTAGAGACGATAGTTCTAGGGTGATATTTCTTTGGTCTTTCTCAGCCGATCCACCTCCAGAAAACGTTTCTCATCAGCAGAGCATTGTGTATCGGTGCACCATGTTCCTGCAACCGAACTGATTTCCATTTCTATTCGTCAGATGACATGCTTCATATTGTTTTGTACCATTTGTAAGAATGCTTTAAAAAGTTAAATGACTTCTTATCTGTCATATTTCCATCGAAGAACTGGGGTCCAGTGATCGAGGATATCAGCCCGTACTATCACATTAAGGTTGTAAAGCAACCTCGAGCCAACGAAGTGTCGAGGGTTCTCCACAGCCCAGTAAAATGCATTGAATACTTCTCTATTTACACGAAGACCGTTTTCCGCACATCAAATAGGGTCGGCTACCGTGTGGTGAATTGCGCTCGACATTCTGAGCCCGGTGCATGGGAGTTTTCGCGCCCTTTTCAGTGAACGGAATTTGTTTTATTTATTTATCTTTAGCACAGAATACTGCAGCATGAGGCACTTCTGAGTACAATCTCGTGGTGGGTGTTCGAGGACTATGGGTTCGGAGAGGGGCGGAGAGGGGGAGGAGAATAGTTCCGTTTCGGTGATAGAGCCTTTCATGGAGAGGGGTTTTCAAAAGCCTGTTTTTTTACTGTGTTATTAGGTGCTTTTCCGCGTTTTATTTCTGCCTGACTATGGTAACGAATGAACATGGTTTCAAACTCTGGGGGAGGGCAGTTAACTTTAAGGACCACGGTTTGTCCTTGTTTTGATGAATTTCAGTTCAAAACTGAATATATGCAGTATTGAAATCACATGACACAAGATTCTATCATAAAATGTTTTGTCCAATCAGAATTTCACAAAGAAAACCCGGCTTGTTTCGGTTCATTCACTGGCAAAAAACACACTGATCATTTCGGGTAGAATTCACACAACTGGTACCAAATTATAATCCAGTTCTGAGCCAGAAATTTTTGCCGTGTGGCTTTCAGTTTTACCCCGGAAATCGGATTGTGAATTGACGGGGTGGGGTTTGGTGCGGTAGCACACAGACCGGTTCCGCGATGGTGGATACTTTTGTTTCATGCTCTTTTGACCGTTTGCACAAAAGTTGCAAGGCGTGACATTTAGACAAAATAGTCAACAATCGACAATGATCAACTGAGGGATGTATCATTCTTCTTTCTGGAATCAGACACGAGGGGGACTAGCAGTTATCGCTGAAGTGAAAATGTAAGCTCTGTGTGTGTGTGTGTGTGTGCATGAAACCATCATCATATGTTTGACTGAAGAGTCGCCTAGGAGAAAGTTGTTAATGCTTTTATTGTAAATATCGTACATCTAAAGCTACATAGTAGCATAGGCTGATAGGGAAATTGTCGCAAAGAATTGTTCTTTCCAATAGTATTAACATTATAATTAGTAGTAGGGTTATAATTCTAAAAGACCAATGCCGGGTAGAAGAAAAACGCTAATTCGAATAACAGCATTGAATAGGCGCAAATATGATTACGCAGACCGAAGAACTTAATTTGCAGCAACTGGTT